AGGGTGGGGGTCCCCACTGGGGTGCCTGGCCAGTCTGGGTGAGGAGCTGAGGGCCGTTTTCAGGCTGGCCGGTGACTGAAGCTCCCAGTCTCTCCTTTTTTCTTTTTCTTTTTTTAATCTGGGATTTATTTACCCTCTATAATTGAAACTTTGTTGCCGTCACTGGAGCTAAGAGCCGGCTCCTGCTCGCCCCAGCTCTGTGGCCACGGCCTGCTGAAAGCAGGTATCTGGGGTTTGTTTAGCTTCTATAATTGAAACTTTGTTGCTTTCGGAGCTCAGAGCCGGGCCGCGGCAGTCAGGGAACCTTGGCTTCCTCCATCACTGGAGTAAGCAAGCCTCCTGCTCGCTTCAGCTGCATGGCTAATGGCCGCCATCTTGGTTGGGTTAATTTGCATATCGTGCTGATTAGCCGATGGGAGGCTTGGCGAAGGTACGGTCAATTACCATGTTTGTCTATTATTAGATAGGATTCTTTCCAAAAGTATTCTGTTTCACAAATATTTATTGAGTATTTTCTATATCCTGGCCATTTATTATAGGCAGAGGGGTTCAAAATATATGACATTGACCTCCCTCAGGATTTCACAGTCTGTTGGACATCTTAAAATAATACTTTATTTGTTTGGCAAGGATATATTTATTATACAGTCATAGGTTGTTTGGAAAACTGAAGTTGAATCCTTAAAATACTAAAATTTTAAAATGAAAATCTTTTGAAAATGTCTTGAATATTTTTTATTCCTGAACTGGGTAAACTGAACATTGTGATTTTTTTTTAGTTGTGATTTACATGTATCATTTTGAACATTCACTTAAAAATGTTTTTCCTAATCTCTCCTGCTGCTGCCAGCAGTAGTCATTTTTTTTTTTTAACTGCTGTTAATATACACTCTTTAATGTGTCTCTTTAAATTCCCATCTCTCTTATAATTTATTCCCAATTTGTTTGGAACTACAGTCTTCACGTATCCAAACATTTTAAAATTCTTATTTAAAACACCTGAGTAGTAGCTTTGGAGTGAATACCTTGACATAGTTTTTTACCTCTGATTAATAAATCTGTGAGCTTTTCAAGCAGACAACTAAAAATGGATTCTCACTAAGGTAACTTAAGTATTATTTTAGGGATTTCATTGTATTTCTAGTTTATTTACTTTCTCTGAATTGTTATTGGTAGTTTTATTTAAAACATAAATTAAAAGCTACACGACGGGTGAACTTGAAACATTATGCTAAGTGAACAAAGCCAGACACAAAAAGCCACATTTTCATGGTTTTATTTGTATGAACTATCCAGAACAAAGAAATCTTTAGAAATAGAAAGTGATTTAGTCATTGCCAGGGGGGTAGAGGAAAGGGAGAATGGAGAATGACTACTAATGGGTAAGGAGTTTCTTTTGTTGGGGATGAATGTGTCCTGGAATTAGATAGTTATGGTTGAACAACTTTGTAAGTATACTAAAAACTACTGAATTGTAAACTTTAAGAGGGAATGTTATGGGAATTATATCTCACTGTTAAAAATCTAAATGAAAACAAATTTTCTAATAAGCCCTTCAAAATACTTCTTGGATTAGCTGCTTTCTAAACCTATACTTTTACTTTTGTATTTTGTTCATTGGCTTACATTTTAAGTCTCAAATATAATTTACAGTGAAAGCATAATTTGTATTTTCCTTCGGGATAATAGAAGTTCAGTTGTGAAGTAAATGAAAATTTAGATAATGTACATTGTTTGTAAAGAAAAAACAAAAGTCCTCTCTATTGGCCTCCTGTAACTCCCTGGTATCATCAGTCTGTAGGTATTAAAGAACAAATGTATTTGAGCCCTACATATCTAAAGTATTTTTAAGGACTGTCCTTGTTTAATAGAAAAGGATAGCAATAATTTAAACAAAAAAAACCTATTAATATATTTTACTTTTCTTTTTTTTTTCCTTAAGAATAAATTGTAGCCCTGGCCAGGTAGAGCGTTGTCCCTATATGCCAAGATTGAGGGTTCAATTCCTGGTCAGGGCACATATAAGAATCAATCAATGAATACATAAATAAGTGAACAATTTACTTATGTTGTTTCTCTCTCTCTCTCTCACTGTCTCCCCCTCCCTCTCCCATCCTCTTTCTCTCTCTCTCTCAAATCAGTAAATAAAATTTTTTTAAAAATATATAAAATATTTTTAAAATGTAATTTTTATATTGTCTTATGAGTTTTGTTTTCATTTTTTGTTTATTTTTATATTACATGCAATTTTTATTTTCCGTTTTTGTGATTTGTTCTATGTAACTTTTTCAGTCTTTAAAATTTTAATTTTTATCGAGTGGTTTATCATTCTGTTGTTTGGTCTGTAAGCTGTTAAACACATGTTGTATGTTTTTATTTTTAGGCTATGGAGTTATTAGTAGAGAAAGCAATCAGCAGTGCTTCTAGTCCTCAGAGCCCTGGAGATGCACTAAGAAGAGTGTTTGAGTGCATTTCTTCAGGGATTATTCTTAAAGGTAAGTTTTACTTCATTTTTGATGTGTATGTTTGATAATTGAATCAGAACTCTTCTTTCTTTTACAAAAAGCTAATATTTCTTTCTCACTGTGGTGATTACTGTAGGTAGTCCTGGCCTTCTGGATCCTTGTGAGAAGGATCCCTTTGATACCTTGGCCACAATGACTGACCAGCAGCGTGAGGACATCACATCCAGTGCACAGGTAAGGGTGTGTTCTTAATCCCAAAGCTTTATTGGGCCGCTGCCTTTAAGGGTTTGTTTTTTTATAACTGTCCTTTAGAAGAAATACTGTATAGGATTCATTCTTCTGTTTCTTTATTAAGTTCTTAAAGGGGAGTATATTTTGAACTAGATTTCACTATTATCTGACATTTTATTATTTTAACTATATGTATGTCTAATTAAAGTATATTATATAAATATAAAAATAAAGCAGTATTTTCAGTCTTGTTAAATCTGAGTATTAGGTTATATATGAAAATCAGTAGGGAAACGATGTCATCTGCTTGTACAGAAGTGATGTGGTTTGTGGTAATTATTGTTATAATTTAGCCTGTCCTGCCATTGGAAAGGCTGTCTCATGTAGTAATTAAGGTGTGGGCTCTGGAGTCAAGACCCTCTGGGTTTGAATACCAGCTCTGCCATCTCATCTGTAAAATGGGGATAAAAGCAGTGTCTGCCTCAAGCAGGATTGTTGGGAGGATTAAATGAGTTAGTGTGTGTAACTGTAATAATGTGCTTTGTTATGTGCCATTGAGTCAGCTCTGACCCAGGTCATGTCCACAGTGTCCTGTCCTCACCAGACCAGCGTGACTCCTCTGGACTCATGCCTGTGGCTTCTTTCATGCAGCCAGCCCATCTCTTACTTGGTCTTTCTCTTTTCCTGCTCTCTTCTCAGAATGTGCCCACAGTAGGACAGCTTCCATTTTGTCATTTTTGCGTCCAGTGGTGTTTCAGGCTTCCTTTGCTGTAGGACACACTTATTTGTCTTTCTGGTGATCCAAAGTATCCATCGAGCTCTCCTCCAACACCATATTTCCAATGAAACAATTTTTTTGCTACCAGCTTTCACTGTCCAGCTTTACGTTGGCTATCATCATTGTCATTATCAGTTATTAGTCCTATTAGAAGAATTATGGAAAAGGAAAACATGTGAACCGAATGAATGAATGAATGAATGAATGAAAAAAATTGATCAATCAAAAACTGCTACAGCTTTCCTTTTTTTTTAACCCAAAAATATATTATCCTGGCTAAAGAAAATAAAGAGGGGTTAAGAATAGTCTAAACAGCAGCCATTTGAAAAGTAGTGTGACTTGTAGATTTATACCCATCAGAACTGAAAACATGTCCATGAAAGACTTGTACATGACAACATTATGCATAATAGCCAAAAAGTGGAAACATCCCAAATGTTCATCAATTGTTGACTGGGTGGATGAATTGGTTTCAGTTATGAAATTAATCTTGTTTAAGGTATTTCTTTCATTAAGCAGAGGCGTTTTTACATATGGGGGTATAAACCTAACAAGAATTATTAATTAATTAATTAATTCTAAATTCTGACTCTTTGTTCCAGTTTGCATTGAGACTCCTTGCATTCCGCCAGATACACAAAGTTCTAGGCATGGACCCGTTACCCCAAATGAGCCAACGTTTTAACATCCACAACAACAGGAAACGAAGAAGGGATAGTGATGGAGTTGATGGATTTGAAGCTGAGGGGAAAAAAGACAAAAAAGATTATGATAACTTTTAAAAAAGTTTCTGTAAATCTGCAGTGTTAAAAATAATAGGTGCCCATTTGTTGGCTGTTTTTCATTCATAATAATGTCTACTTTAAAAAATTTATCAAGAATTTCATGGAAGAACCAAGTTTTTCTGTGACATTAAAATCTTCATGTACAGTGTTAGGTGTTATATGAATGGAAAGACACCCCCCAAAAATTGTGCTCCAACTAGGGGAAAAACAATGGTTCAGATTCTCTCTCCCCCCCCCCCCCCCCCCCCGCCATTATTTTGGTTTTATTTACTGGTTGCCCTAGTTTCTTCTATTTTTGTGTCTTTTATTAACTAGTCTTATTAAATCTTCACTGTATTTAATGCAGTATTTGTACTTCAGTTACTATGTGTATTTTGAGATGTTTATTTAGAGGTTTTGTTCTTTGACACTAGCTGTTTGTGTTATAGATGATGTCCTTTACTCCTTAATATTTTACAGCAGTATATTTTTTGTAATGTGAGACTGCAAAATTTTTTCCTGTTTTGTTTTGTTATTCTATATGTGATGGATTATAACACAAAAAGTTATCCTGCCATTTAAGTGCTCAGAACTGAATGTTTCTGCAGATTTTGTGGCATTTGTCTCTCTAGTGTGATATATAAAGGTGTAATTAAGACAGATTTCTGTTAATCTAATCAAGTTTGCTGTTAGTTGTGCATTAGCAGTATAAAAGCTAATATATACTATGGTCTTGCAACAGTTTTAAAAGCCTCTGCATAATTAATAAAAATGCATGACATCTTTGTTTTTAATAGACTTTTAAAATTATAATTTTAGGTTTGACACGTAGATCTTTGTACAGTTGACTTTTTGACATAGCAAGGCCAAAAATAACTTTCTGAATATTTTTTTCTTCTGCATAAGTGGAGAGGGCATTTTTCATACTATAAGTGGGCTAACCAATATTTTGAAAAGAACTTTATCATTGTGCAACTAACAACAGTAACTAGCCCTTAATTATGATGACATTTCCTTGTTGGTGTGTGTGAGATTACTCTAGCGACTATTACAGTATAACACAATTGAATGATTCCTTTCCCCTGCCCCCATACCCTATCACCCAGAGAATTTACAGTTCTATTAACAGTGAGGTTGATAAAGTATTACTGATAAAAAATTAAGATTATCTAAGGAAAAAAAAACCAGAAAATTATTTGGTGTGGCCATCTTACATGCTTATGTGTCCTACAAAAAGCTAAATATTCTAGCAGTGGTGTAATGATAAGTTACATCTTACTGTTGATGTGTTTATGCTCTGGTACACAGGTGTCATTTTGTTGTCACAGCACTACAGTGAAATACACAAATAAAAATTTAAATTCATATTATGACTTAAATGTATTATATGTTAGAATTGACATAAACTACTTTTGCTTTGAAATGACTTATGCTTTAGTAAAACTATATTCAAAAGTATTGGGTAGTTATATTTTGTTATTGCTGACAAATGTTTGTTGCCTGACCATAGAATTTCCAAAAAATTTTATCATTTTCAATACTGTATTGGTTCAATATAGTCTCTTGAATTGGGTCAGATCATCAGAGTTCTGTTGACTTAAAAGCCTAAGCTTTTAATCTTTAAGCCATGTACCTCCTACAGTTGTGTTTTTAGCCAACCCTCTTTCTGTAGAATTTAAATGCTCAAGACATGGCGTGCGGATAGATTTTAAGTATCCCAATTTTGGTCTATGCTACTGGCCTATCCATCAACCTTTTTCACCCCTCTTTATTCTAAAGAACTCACAAAGCTGTATCTCTTTCTAAGGCCAATGGTTAAGTAAGGATGGGAAAGTAAAGGGAATCCCATCTCCTTTGCTCTGCATTTTAACCTTTTCCTGAGCCAGAAGTCAGAAAGGATATTGCATGTACTACATCCAGAATATAGATAGGTGTTATTTGTCCCAAATTCTGTTAGAGTCTCTGAGCCAATATTAAAGATTTTAAACACAAAAATTCTAATTTGACCTCTTGAAAAATTGGCAGATCTGATGACACAGGACATGTTACTACATGGTGTTACTTAGCTAAAGCTGAGCGTAATGGCCACTCCTTGGAGGATAAATTTGAGACAAAGCCTCTTCTGGACAGTGGACCACAGCCTTCTCCTTTGCTCCTATTTTCCTACCAGGTTGGCCTGTGGGCATTCAGTTGTATCACATCTCAGATGCCGGCCATTTTGCCTGTGGACTCGCCCAATCTGCGTGTGTAACTACATCTGTTAAACTGAGGCACAGAGAATCTCTAAAATTACTTCGTTTCAGAATTGTCCAGGTCTCTGATCCTGTGCTTCCTGCACTAGCACACTTGAGGTTATCCACATTGAATGTCAGGGCGGTCATAAAGCAACACTTCACTTCCTTCATTGATTGTTTGCAGAGAAATGTCAGGAGGAGGCCTGAAAGTCAAGTAAGCTACAGCCTGAAGGGCATCCTTTCTTTCAGAGCAGAGACCGAAATCTCTCTCCTGAAGATCGAACTTCGGAGCAGCCTGCCTGTCTTCCTGTCTGCTCTTTGGTTGGACTAAGAGAAAGAGAAGAAAAGGCTGTGGGAGTTGAAGAGAACAAAGATGGGCTAAAAGGAAAATAAGACTTTGTAGATGGCAAGATTCTTAGTTGTATAGGTGCTTAAATTTTTGAAATCTTAGTATACATCAAAAGAGATGAAATGGAGAGGGCTTCATTTATGGTGAAGTGGAAAGGGAGCTGCAGCTGAATTACTGACTGAGACCCAGTTTGTGAGTCACAGCTCTGGATCAGATGAAGTAAGTACCCTCTTCCCTGTCTCTGAATGCAACTGTCAAATCTGGATAAAATGCTTTGAGCAGCAGTGTGAGGACTCAAACGTATTTAGTGGCAGAGAGATTGGAGAAGATCACAAGTGAACTATCAGACAGTTTACCCTCCAGAGGTGAACACCCTGCTTAGCCATGCACGTGAGCACAGCCATGGGAGAGTATGGCAGTGTGTGGTAATCAAAGCCCAGATTTTTGGCCAGAGGATGATAAAGATGAGCCCCTGGGAACTGGAACATAACTGGGCAGGTTGTGGGGGGAGGGAAGAGCAAGGGTAAGTGACCCCATAAAGTTACTTGTGAATAATTTTATAATAGTTTTTTCCCAGGGCTCAACCCCAAGTTATTTTGTAAGGCCAACATTACCCTGACACAAAAACGATTAAAAAAAAAATGCTTCAGCAATAAAGTTTTAAAAACAAAAAAGAAAGCAGATGGAAAAGTTAAAAAAAATACAACTGAAATGCAAGGCTGATTCAATATGTGAAAATCAATATATGAATTTTTATAATTTTAATACTATCCTAGAATAAACAAAAGTTTAAAGAAATAACTGGGAAAGCCATTACAACATACTATACCAGAGAGTTGATACTGATAAAGATGTTCAAGTCATTTGAATCCGATTCCACTAAGAATTAGACATAGGCACAAAGATTTACTACCTAAGTGGTCAAGAATTGGAAAAATGGGTCCAGCTGGTGTGTCTCAGTGATTAAGTGTTGACCTATGAACCATGAGGTCACGGTTCAATTCCCAGTCAGAGTACATGCCTGGGTTTCAGGGCTTGATCCCCAGTGTGGAGCGTGCAGGAGGCAGCCAATCAATGATTCTCATCATTGATGTTTGTATCTCCCTCTCTCTTCCTCTCTAAAATCAATAAAACATTAAAAAAAAAGAATTGGGAAAATGGGACATCCATATAGTGGGTCATTACAAATAATGATGTAGCTATGTATCAGCAAGCTGAGATGTTCACAAATAAGCGTGTGCAAAACCAGCATCTGTTTACGATACATGCATCTGCATATGCACACACATACATAGGAAAAGTCCTAACTTAAAACCATTGACACTGGTTATTCTGGGGTACGAGATCCTGGATGACTTTTTCAACTGGTTCAGATGTTTTGACGGAACAAGGAATACTTTGGTAATAAGATAAAAACTTTTATTGACATTTTTCTTTTTATATACTGGATTTACTCCTGGGCCACAGGTTTTTGTTTCTTCAGTTCCTTCTGGAATATCTTTTTCTCCTGTGCAGCCTCCTCTTCTGGTTTAGGAACACTCTGCTCTTTTTCAAAAAGGATCATCTCCGATGGCAGGGAGCGCTCATGTGCGGGTTAATCTGCCCGTGAGCTTTAGGTTCTGCACCACCTCTCGGAGCTTTGTTCACCTGACTGCTCAGTGACCAGAGAATCTACACCTCAGCCAAGTTCAGCACTGCTCTCTGCATTCTTAAGCACGTGCAGCAAGATGCCCAGCACTCTGCACCCAGCCCCCGTTTGGCCTGGACACCACCTACCAGCTCCACTGTAAGCGCGGAATGGCACACATGGCTTCCTACAGGGACACCCTTCAGGCACTTGGTGGCTTTTCCAATAGGCACGCCCTTGATGGCCCAGGCAGTTTCACAAATGTTCTTAGAGTGAACATGAAGATTTGAACCTCCTGATTGGCATGATTTCATGGGGGTTTCTGGGTCAAGTGAATAGTGAACCATTTTCAGCGGTCATCTCAGACCAAAAGCTTCTTTCTTTAAAAGGGTGAATGAACAATGTACATGGGTGGACAATTCTCAAAAGAAGTATATACTCTCAAATATAAATGGCCGATAGCCATATGAAAAATTTTCAACCTTACTAGTAATCAAATAAATACAAATTTTAAAATAATGAAGGTAATATACTTTTTGTCAACCAGATTGATAAAGCTTGTAAAGATTGAAAATAATCAGGTCTGAAATAGTAAAACCAAGATTGTAAAGGCAAGAGGCACTAGCTCAGTCGACATCAGAAGGACCTTTTTTTTTTTAATTGTCTAAAGTTTTACATATGTCTCCTTTTTCCCCTGATTGACACCTCCTCCCCACCTCCCCAGCCATTCCCACCCTGGGCAAGCTCCCACCATCCCAGTGTCTGTGTCCTTGGTTATGCTAATATGCACGCATACGAGACCTTTGGTTGCTCTCTAACCACCCCCCTCCCCTGCCATTTGTCTCTGGGTCTATTTTTATTCATCAAATTGTGTTGATCATTATATCCCACATATGAGTGAGATCATGTGATATTTATCTTTCTCCGACTGTCTTATTTTGCTTAGCATAATGCTCTCCAGTTCCATCCATGCTGTTGCAAATGGTAAAAGTTCCTTCTTTTTTATAGTGGCATAGTATTCCATTGTGTAGATGTACCACAGTTTTTTAATCCACTCATCTGCTGATGGGCACTTAGGTTGTTTCCAAATCTTAGCTATTGTAAATTGTGCTGCTATGAACATAGGAGTGCCTGTATCAGAAGGACCTTTTTAAAAATCTACACTAATAAAAGAGAAACATGGTAATTAGCGTACGACCGCTACCCTTCCCATTGGCTAATCAGCGTATCCTTATGCAAATTAACTGTCAGCCAAGATGGCGGCCGGCAGCCATGCACTGAAGCGAGCAGGGAGGCTTGCTTGCTCCTGTGACTGCGGCCTCCAACGTTCCCCGCCTGACTTGCCGGCCTCTCAACTGCAACTCTAAGCAACTATGTACTATGTTGCAAATAAGAAGCTAAACAAAACCCCAGAAACCGGCTGTCAGTCAGCCAGGTTCAGCCAGCCAGCCGCAACATTGTATCGATGTTTTCAGCAGGAGGCCTCGGAGCTAAAGCTGGCCCAGAATAAAAAAAAAGAAAAAAAGGAGCGGTTGGGAGCTTCAGTCACCCGCTTTAGGAAAACAGCCCTCAGCCCCTCACCCAGACTGGCCAGGCACCCCCGTGGGGACCCCCACCCTGATCCAGGACACCCTTCAGGGCAAACCAGCCAGCCCCCACCCATGCACCAGTCCTCTATCCTTCATAGTAAAAGGGTAATATGCCTCCCAGCACCGGGATCAGCGGAGCAGCGAGGCCCCCGGCACCGGGATCAGTGTGACGGGGCAGCACCCAAACCCCCTGATCAGCCCTGCTCTGTGCCTGATAGGGGGGAGCTCCCCAATCCCCTGATCGCCCTGCGGCTCTCTGTGTGACAGGGGGCGGTGCCCCAACCCCCTGATCGGCCCTGCTCTGTGAGTGACGGGGCGGCGCCCCAACTCCCCAATCTGCCCTGCTCTGAGCCTGACCAGGGGCTGCACTTAGGGATTGGGCCTGCCCTCTGCCACCCGGGAGCAGGCCTAAGCCAGCAGGTCGTTATCTCCCAAGGGGTCCCAGACTGCGAGAGGGCACAGGCCGGGCTGGGGGACCCCCCCTCCCCCCCGAGTGCACAAAGTTTTGTGCACCGGGCCTCTAGTATATATATAAAACTACTAGAGGCCCAGTGCATGAAATTTGTGCACGGGGCGGGGGTTGTCCCTCACCCCAGCCTGCACCCTCAGGGGGATGTCTGACTGCTAGCCCCACCCCCTGATCACTGCCGCCGGTCACC